TGGTACAATGGCCCGTTTTAAACAGCAAGATCTTGGCTCTTGTAAAAATGCTTTCTTTTCAGCTTCATATGATAGATTTCTTGTTGGCCAAAAGTTACTTTAAAAGTTGAAGCCTCAAAATTCATGTTAAAAACAGATCTCAGATTTCCACACGTCATTTAAAAATGGCCAACCCGACATTTTCCAAAACTGTTAAACAAAATTCATCTCTGTGCTGTGATCTTGTCTCTCAGTTTTCAGAAGAAAGAAAAGATTTGCACCTGATGGATAACCCTGTAAAAAGTGGGTTTCTAATGGAAATATTGTCAGATGTTTTACTCTAGCAGCCAAGACAGGTGTTTGGTACACATGAAACGTGTAACCTCTTGAAGCTCAGCTTTCAATGAAACGCCTAAGACGGCATGTGCGCGTTAGCGGAAAAGAGTATAAATGAACTCAAATTTTTATAACATTCCTTGTTGAAATCTATTTTATACCTTTGTATAAAATAAGAAGCCGAGCAAATGGCTGACTATTAGAACATAAGAAAGTAACACAAGAATGGCCATACTGAGTCAGACTAAAGGTTCATTTAGCTCAGTATCCTGTTTTCCGACAGTGGCCAGGGCCAGATGCCCCAAGGGAATGAACAGAACAGGGAATCAAGTGATCCCTCTCCTGTCATCCATTTCCAGCCTCCAACAAACAGAGGCAAAGGACACCATTCCTACCCATCCTGGCTAATAACCATTGATGGACCTAACCTCCATGAATGTATCTAGTTCTCTTCTGAATCCTCTTTAAGTCTTGGTCTTCACAACATCCTCTGGCAAAGAGTTCCACAGGCTGACTGTGCGGTGCATGAAGAAAAACTTCCTTTTCTTTGTTTTATACATGCTACCTATTACTTTCATTTGGTGACCTCTTGTTCTTGTGTTATGGGAACAAGTAAATTAGAATGCCCAGCAATGTAGACTGGTCAGCCGTGTATCTCATTTATCCTTCATCTTACACTGACTGAAGAAAGATTTTTTTTTTTAGGATAAATTTCTTAAACCAGTTTATCTCCTCAAAACAGAAAAACGAATCAAGCATTTTATTAATTAGAGACACTCTCTGTTTATGCTACTATCAAGGCCGCAAGCTGTAATCAATACAATCAATATGCTAGGACCAGCTATGGCTTTCTTGATAACAAAGCTGAATGCTAAATAGTACACCCTGACATTGAGAGTCCCATTATGTGAAGACACAGAAGAGGCAGTTTTCATAAATATTCAAAGTTAGTTTTAGCACTGACTTGGGCACTAAAATTCTCAGTTATTCTGTACCTTATTTTTCACGTCCAGGTACATAACAGCCTTCATGACACAATTTTACTATCTCATTTCTTTTTTCCTCCAATATTTCTATCAGAAAATCTGTGCTACATTCAGGAAGTAATTATAATATATCGAAAGATCATAAGACAGTCGGGCAGCATTTAAAAGCGAAGACAGTCATTTGTATTTCTGTAAACAGCCTCTGTCACAGCGATGTGACAAACGTGATTCATCTCTGCGACACCCTGCCTAGCAGGGAAGTGCGCCTGTGAGCCCTTGCCAATGCTGTGCAGCTCGCCAGACCCGCGGCACGGCTGTCACCATTAACAAGCGGATGCTAGCAACAGGAGAATTCAGGAGCACTGCAGGCCCCGTCTTGCAATGGGAGCGCTTGTCCAGGCGGTGTGGCCAAGTGCACCACCGGGCGGGGATCTGTTACGTGACAGTCCCACGCAGAGCCTGTGGGCAGGCTCCACCAGGTGCCTATTTCACGCACTGCAGGCAGATTTAGGGGCTTTCTCCCCGCTGGACGCTCACCAGGCTGTTTGCTATTCGGGGATCCAGCTGCTGGATCCTATTTCTTTTACGCCTCCAGAATATGAACTGAGCACTGACTGGGCTGTTGTCCTCTCAGCACCCCCTTGGGGGCACACGCTCTGTTTAGCAGCCCCCCCGGCCCATCACTGACCGCTCTGTAGCTGACGCACAGCCGCTCCCAGCACTCCACCTAGGCGAGCTTTCTGGGCCCAAAGGTTAACTCCCCAGTGCACATGCAGGGTGTAACATGCAGCGCAGATACTTTGCCCAGGCTTCTCACCCCATTGCTCTCAATTCCATCACCTGAGAAATTGCGATATCGGCTCTTCTTGGGAACTTGCCACCCTCCTCTCTCTGCTCCCGACAGACAAGCAGGAGGAAGTAACTTCTCCAAGGCTCCAGCTCACCAGGCCTGGTCTACACTAGACCAGGCAGATTAGCTTAGGGTATGCCACTCCAGCTATGCAAAATGCGTAGCTGGAGTCAGCTTACTTTGAGCCAAGCAGTGGCTGCGTCCACAGAGCAGGAGGTCGACAGGAGCACACACTCCTGTTGGCTTCCCGTACTCCTCTCAGGAGGAGGAGGATCGGGTGCTGGCAGGGCTGCCTTCAGCGCTTGATGTAGGGGGTCTACACTAGACCTGCTAAATCGAATGCTAGAAGAGTGATCTCTGGAACATCGATCTTCTCGTAAGTGTAGACATGCCCTCACTGTCCCAACATGATGCGGTTGCTGAGTTCTAATGACCCACCATTGTACTTGGAAGGAATATGCTTATCCCTTGTCAGGAATGGTGGGTACAAGGCAGGCAGAGATGCAGTCCCCATTACAGCAACATCATCCCAAGAAGCTCATCAAATTCATAAATCGTACAGACGGATCCCCCAGATCGCCATGTCTGTACACCCTGATTTTCACAGATTTATATCTGTTTTTATAATGGACCAGGCTGGGGCTCAGCTAGTCAAATAGTAACAAAAAAATTAAGATTAATACATATATTGCAAATGAATATGGAATATTTGTTCTGCTGTTAATTTTAATGATATTTCGAAAGCTGGACTAATTATTGTAAAGCCTAAATTTTATACACATTTTAGGATATTTGTCTCAAAGTCAAAACAGAAAGCATGTTATCTATTATGTGCTATTAATTATTCTTCTGCACACGGAGTTTGAGTTGCCCAATCAGGGAGCAGAAAAAATATTTGACTTATGTGACCAATCAGACACTGACCATAATGAACAGGAAAAAGGCAAATAGGATGCTAGGAATTATTAGGAAAGGGATAGAAAATAAGACCCAGAATATCTTACTGCCCCTGTATAAAACTATGGTACGCCCACATCTTGAATAATGTGTACAGATGTGGTCTCCTCACCTCAAAAAAGATATTTTGGCCTTGGAAAGGTTTCAGAAAAGGGCAACTAAAATGATTAGGGGTTTGGAACGGGTCCCATATGAGGAGAGGTTAAAGAGACTGGGACTTTTCAGTTTAGAAAAAAGGAGACTGAGGGGGATATGATAGAGGTCCATAAAAGGCTATTAGCCAGGGGATAAAATGGTGTCCTTGGCCTCTGTTTGTCAGAGGCTAGAGAGGGATGGCAGGAGACAAATCGCTTGATCATTGTCTTCGGTCCACCCTCTCTGGGGCACCTGGTGCTGGCCACTGTCGGTAGACAGGATACTGGGCTAGAAGGACCCTTGGTCTGACCCAGTACGGCCGTTCTTATGTTCTTATGTAGAATCCCATTAGAGCCTTGACAACAAAATGGGATGGCTGCTTCAGACTGATAGCCCACCATGTCCAAGATCATCTAATTTACCTTTTTTTAAAAAAAATATTGACACAACACAAGCATTCTCCCAGTCCTCTGGATATTCCCCAGTGTCCCAGTACCTGTTCACTACCAACATTAACAGCCCAGATTTCTTTGATATCATGGATATCTGTCCAGGAAACACACACACAACAGAAAAGGTATATATCTGGAGGAGAGAGAATTGAATTTTTGATAGATTCATCCCTCTGGTTTTGTAGCTCCCAGAAGCAGGTAGCCATTAAAGGAATGTTTAGAGGCGAGTATTCTGCTGCAGGTAAGTCCTAAGTGCTTGGTTCTCCCTGTGTAGTTGAAGTGTAGATGAATGACTTTAACATGATTGAGCTGTGCTGTCATTCTCAGAGCAGAAGACAGTCTTATTGAACCTTGGAAGAGAAAATGAATGTAACTACAGTAGAGTAAGTGCAACGCGAAAGTAGCTGAATGCACATTACTCACTGTTAAGCAAACATCAGATTTCACTGTGCCAAAGAGATGATTGTCAGGGAAAAGGGTCTGAATGAAAAATCTCATTTGACCTCTTTGCTGCCAGTGACTTTACAAGTTACATTAAGCAGATGTACATCTCAAATGCTGCAAAACATAACCCCTCTTGTACCCCACTGATAAGACAACAACTGTTTATGTTGCATCCTTCACAGAAATATCACAGAGCATTGTGCAGTTAAAATGATAAAATGATCAGCCCTTTGGAACAGTTTAAAAGCTACAATGATTACTTCAACCTTGCAGTAAATGAGATAGATTGATATAAATTTGAGATGACCAATAGATGCATTGCTACAAACGGCCTTCCTCCATATAGCAGAGGGGTCTGTCTCTTTTGGCAACACTTGTATAGACTGTCATGCCAATAATGTGTTGTTGAATTGCAGTGGGGAAAAAATGCGAACGTTGACATCAGCTCCTAACTGGGACAAACTGAAATCCCTTGCTGAGTCTGAGAGTAACAAAATCAGTTCAATAAATGGAGCATGGTCATTCAAGGCATTAAATGCTGGAGAAGGATTTTAAAAATCAATGTAAAACTGGACAGGTAGCTGGTACCGCCATTTTAGAATGAAAATAATGTACTGAAACAGCTATGTGCCAAGAAAGTTTCAGACTGCCGCATTTTCAATGAGCTGTATCCTAGATCTAACAGAGGAAGAGCTCTTGAAAATAAAGAATTACAGTAATCTTTCCTTGAAAAACAAGATCTTTAAGAAGGTCTGCTGAGCAACAGCTGTGGAGGCACAAATGGGAAAGTCCAGCAGTAAAAGGGTTAATTAACTGGTCCATGAAAACTTGAAATAACCATAAACTTTTTTCACTTGCCAGACAGAAAAGTTAAATAAGCAAAAGGAATATGCAAAGCATGTTAAAGAGCAGAACATGAAGAATGTTGCTACTGCACAGAAACCTCCAGCAAAACCTCAGCTCAAGTCGTCATTATCAAGACATAAGGTCAGACCAGAAAGCATCTCAATCCCAGACACGCCCAATGCAGAAAGTAGGGATGTAAAAATACAGAACTGTAAAACCAGTCACCGTGTAACCATTCCAAACCCTGTCAGTTACATGGTTAACTGGGGCTGTATGGCTGGGTGGGGCTAAGCAGGGAAAGATAGTGGAGGGGAGCCCCTGCAGTTCCCATGGAGCCAGCTGCCCCACATTGTAGGCTCTGCAGTGCAGCCGGCAGGTTCTTGGTTGTCCCAGTTGCTGGCCTGCTCCGAAGGAGCTGGCTGATGCCCCGTGCCACAGGCACTTCCAGCCCTGCTCCCAGGTGCCAGCTCTGCTCCAAGGGCATCAGCTGCTCCGCCCTGCGGGCTCTGCAGGCATGCACAGGCTCCTAGCATGCACTGACTCCTGGCTACCGGCCCTGCAGCCCGGGGAGCAGGCTGCCCAGGGAAGGGGGCTAGCAGAGCTTGCAGCATGGGGTGCAGCCGGTTCCCTGGGAGCAGGGCCAGTATCTGCAGTACACACATGCAGAGCCCGCAGTGAGGGGCAGCTGGAGCCCCAAGAGCAGGCTCAGTTTAACCAGTTAAACTCTTACATCCCTAACAGAAAGTTCCTCAAGGTCAGTTACTTATCCGTTATTTTTGTACCATCTTCATGGGCAATGGGTGAACAGCTGGCTCGGGGGAGCTAGCCCTCCCCACCTGAGGCCATAGAGCACAGAGAGGGCACACTACCCCAGTGTCCCTAACCACAGCAACTCCTCCCCCACAATGCCTGCTGCCTCAGCCTGGCTCCCAGGGTATGTCTACACTACCCTCCTAGTTCGAACTAGCGGGGTAATGTAGACATACCGCACTTGCAAATGAAGCCCGGGATTTGAATTTCCCGGGCTTCATTTGCATAAACTGGGCGCCGCCATTTTTAAATCCCTGCTCGTTCGAACCCCGTGCCGCGCGGCTACACGCGGCACGAACTAGGTAGTTCGGGCTAGGCTTCCTAGTCCGAACTACCGTTACTCCTCGTGGAATGAGGTCCACGGCTCAAGGTCAGCCTCCCACTCCTCCCCACAGAGGGGGGGCTTCCAGCTGGGCGGGAGCCCCAAGCCTTGCTGTGTGATCAGGCTTATGGGAAAGAAGCAGAGCTGGACGTAGTTCCGCGTGCTGCCACCAACTAGGGAAACAGCAGCATGCAGACGCCTCTGCTGAGATCCCACACCCACAGCCTGCTCCTGTCCCCCCGCACCCCTGGCCAGACACCCTACCCCCAGCCTCCTCCTGCACCCTCCCCTCTGGCCAGACACTCTACCCCCAACTTGCTCCTGCATTCACCCTTGCTTCTGTACTCTTCACCCTGTCCAAACACCTCCATCCCTAGCCTGCTCCTGCACCCTCCCTCCTGGCTACACACTGCATCCTTCCTTGCTCCTACACACATCCCCCTAGGCTCCTACTCCCAGTCTGCTGCTGTACCCTACCTCCCAACCAGATCTCACCCTCTCCTGCGCATCCCGCCCAGATTTTGCACCCCCATCTCTATCCCGCTCACTGACATCTCTGTCTCCCTCAGTGAACCCCTCAATTTTGTCCCCACCCCAGAGTTGGGGAGGGTCCACAAAATCCGCTAACCATGGAAGCCCAGAAGAGTCAATCTGGTTTATGGGAAGCCCTGCACCTCATCTTCCCTCTCCCTTCCCTGGTGGGGCTGGCGCACCAGAGGAGTGAGTTGTCTCACTTGGCGGCCACATCAATGACATTGGAGGTTTTTGGAGGGTTTTGTGGTATTTTTTGCTTCTCACTTGTATAGTCCTCAATTGATTTTTCTGTGGGTCAGTGGCCCCTGACCCAAAAAAGGTTCCCTTCCCCCCTTCCCCCTTTAAATGGTTTTAAAGAAAACATTGAAACCTTTTGTGTCGTACATAAATTAATATTTTACTTTATTGAAAATGAAGTTTGATAAACTAACATGAGAAAGTAAAAGTGCTTAGTCTGTTTAATAATTTAAATTCATATTTCCTTTCTTACTGGTTAAGTTAAACTGTTCTCCCTAGCTGTGGCACTAACAAAATGGCTCTGACATAATTATTGGTGAGTTTCCAGTAGCAATTGGTGGTCCTCCAAAAGATTTGCATTGAGCCAGGTAGGCCCAGCTCTGAAAAGCTTGAGAACCACTGCTCTAAGCTTTGACTTTGAAGTCTTGAAGAATATCTCAGCATCTTATTTATCATTTTAGGTCTGTTGTCATGTCATTTTGGAGGAAGGACTATTATAAAACAAATCTCTGCTTTCTGAGGCTTGCCACACATTGCCACAAGTTATCATTGAGGCCAAGACCTTGACAGGAATAAAAAACATTTTATATTTATAAGGAATGTGAGAATATACAAAATTATAATAGTAAATACATTTTTTTATAAAGTGTTGGAAGGGATGTAAACCTGTATGCTCCAAGACATAAGAGAATTTCTAACTAATAAGGATCAGAAACAACTTATCTGGGGGCAGATTATTTGATATCGTCAGAGTTTCTTGTACCTTCCTCTAAAGCATCTGATACTAGTCATTACAAAAGATGGAATTAGGCCATTAATCTGATTTAGTGTGAACATTCTTATGTTCTCCTGCTGTTTTTAAAAGTGTTGATATAATTTTATTGTTAATTTCAAAATTATTTCAATCTTTATATTTTTAGGCTCTGGAATATGCCAAAAAGATTCCTAAACCAAAAACTCTCTCAGCTAAGCAATCAGATGAAGAACCAAAAGAGGAAAGGATTCAAACACATACTTTAAAAGGACAGAATTTACCTCAAATTTCCTCATTGAAAACTCTGCAAAACAGGCATGAAATAGAGAAGCAAGTTGTGGCTACCTTCAAAACCCTTAACATTTTATAACAAGTTTGAAATAGTTAGGGAGTTGTAGAGGGTGCAGTATCTGAACTATTTAAGTGTGTATTAAATTAATTACATGTTTTCCAGATACAGTATTTCAGGACTCTGCTATTTAAATGAGAGCCTCTACCATCACAAAATTGATTTCAAAAGGTGAAATATTTTCAGATTATTCTCCTTTATTTTAGTCCAAATGTATTAGAATCATTTTTAAAGTAAACATAACCTTAGAACTATGGTTCTTTTTATTCTGCTTTTTCCTTCCTTAAAAAATCCAGATTAAGTTGCTGCTTCTTTCTGAGCGTCTTACACTGAAAGGGTAGCGAGTGAATTTAGGTACCTTCTGGGGTCCGCAGGAGTTCTGTGAATTGCAGGGAAGTCTATACTCGGAACTTTGATACCTAAACAAATTTGTGAATCTAGATCTTTCCCAAAATGCTCATTTTTTACGCAGTGAAATAAACCTACAGAAACATACCAAAATATCATTTTTATATTTTACATAATGAACTTTTAAAAGGATTTCCTTCAAATTTTATCACAGTGTGTGTGTGTGTGTGTGTTTGTGTTTACTTTTCTCTTAAAATAACTTGCACTGAAATGAAAACAGGAACATTTCCATGACACTCACTGAGCCATTGACCAAAGAGACATGAATTCATGATAAATATTATAGCTCTGTCCCAGGTTTCCATGACTGGTAATAGGTAGAGATGTTATCAGCAGTATTTGGATATAGAGCACCCTATGTATACATTCTACTTTTCAAATACATAAGACAGACCCTGCTCCAAAGGAGCATCTCAGCTGATTTTGGAGAGACGAGAACAATACAGTGGTAAAATAAAAGAGACCGAAGAGAGAGGAAAGTCTGCAGAGGACAAAGACTGGTTTAAGGAGGACTCTGAAGGTCGAGAAAGCAGTGGGACTTGATACATCAGCAATCAGATCGGAAGCACCCTGCAGTCAACGGAAAGATTCTCTTTGCCTTAAATGGGTTTTCAGTCATGGCCTTGCAAAGCGGAGCATAAAACTGAGAAAGGGAGATGGCAAAGAGAGCAGCTGAGAGGATTTGTATGGGCACAGATTGAGTAGCAAGAAAGAGTTGGGATGTGGACCAGGGCGAAATTGTGAAGACTTTGGTAGATGAGGACAGAGCACTTGAACTGGGTGCAATAAAAGAAGCCAGATGCAGCATGGTCCCCTGGACAAGGTGCTGGATTAGGGCTAGTCACTTGATTTCTGTTTCCAATTCTGCCCCAATCTGCTGAATGACCTTATATATGTCACTTCACCTCTCTGTACATGAGTGCAGCTCCTGGCTCTGCAACCCCCACCCAGGTCCCCTGAGTATATATCCAGGGGTTAGCCCAAGCTGCTACCTGTTCCCAGCTCTCTGGCTAGTTTGAGTGCACTCAGTCAAGCAGAGCTAGAGGCATGTCAATTTGAGCTGGGACGCACAGTCCCCGCTGCAGGGTGTATAAGGTACCTGCCCTGGGTGCATGAGGTTGAGGATTTGAGCCCCACTCACCCTGGGGAAAGCCACCACCAGCTTCCCAAGGGATGGAGCTGGCATCCTTGGAAGGTTTAAAGGATAAAGGGGCCTGTGAGGGTAGGGGGGCTCCTCCAGTGCCTGCCTCAGGAGCATGAGGTTGAGGATTTGAAGCCCCACCCACCAAAAGCTTCCCAATGGATAACGCAGGCAAGCTTGGAAGGCTCCTCCATGTGTCACCACACCCAGCACAGTGGGGACAATCTGGTTGGAGCCCTTACATGCTGCAAAAACAATAAACTAGTGAAGAGCTGTAAGGAGGGAAAGATTTGATCAGAATGATGGGAAAGGAAAACATCATCAATTCCTGTAAGAAAAAGACAGAATCCTCACCAAGTCCAGCAGTGACACAAGAAATGATTCTTCCATGTTTTATATAATGTACAAAAGCTTCAGAGCCAAGTGAGTCTATAACTGGAAAAACTTAAAAAACAGCAAATGGTCTAGCAGCAACTTAAAGACTAACAAAACGTGTAGCTGGTATCATGAGCTTTTGTTAGTCTTTAAGGTGCTACTAGACTATTCATTGTTTTTTATACAATGTAGTAATTTCTAATATTTAGCCAGACTGTCTTAGAGTTTGGGTCCTTAATGGGTTTTTAATGTAAATACTTGTGCCAGATTTAACTTAAAGGAAAATTGGTACATTTGAAATTAAAAAGGTGAGGGAGATGTCAACCTTGTTGTATTGTCTTAATATCTACAACATTTTCTTTCTTTAAAATGAAAAGGAGGATTTTGGCAGGCTATCCATGAACAAAGCCAAACTGAAATACTCCCAATAATGAAGAAAGTAAAACATGAACCAAACACAGGCCATCAATAGTGAATTATGTAGTCATTGCTTGATTATTGATTAATGATTCATTGTCATAGCATCACAACTAGCCCAGGAGTTTAGAGCCTCATCTGGAGCAAGAAAATGCAAACAAGTATTAGCTGTTCATATAGACAATGTGTTATTAGCTTGGAGTATTTGGAAGATCTGCACTCTGAGAGCTTATCTAGACTAGGAAATTATTTCAAAATAATAACTCCCAAAATAACTATGTCAAATAGCGTGTCCACACTACAGAGAACCCTCAAAATTAGTCTGAGGCTGGCTTCCTTAGGGAACATCTACACAGCAGCGTTATTTCAGAATAACTGACTTTATTTCGAAATAACATAGTATGCGTCTACACAGCAAGCCATTATTTTGAATTAATTTTGAGATGGAAGACTTCTTACTCCGACTTACTCTGTAACCCTCATTTCACTATGAATAAGGGAAGTCAAAGGACGCATGTTCTTCCTTCTATTTCTTGCTGTGCAGACAGCACCAAACACCAAATTAAGCTATTTCGACTTAAGCTAATTGACATAGCTGAAGTTACGTATCTTAATTCGACTCTTGCCCTGCAGCGTAGACATGCCCTTAATATGGACGTGCTATCTTGACTTAGACCCCAGGAAACATGGGGGAGTAATTACTTTGAATGAATGACTCTGGGGAGTAGTTATTTTGAAATAGCAGCAGTGGAGCATCCACACTACCGCTATTTCAAAATAAGTGCTATTCCTGGTGGAAAGCAGGAGTTGTTATTTTGAAATAACGAGCCCCCTTTTTTTGAAATAATGGGCTTGGTAGTGTAGACACACTGCTTGTTATTTAGAAATAAGTGGCATTATTTCAAAATAACTCGCTAGTGTAAACTAGGGATATGAAGGACTAGGGATGTGAAGCCATGCTAGTCGACCAATCACTCCCCCTCTCCCTCCACCCCCCCATGCTGCCTCTCTCAGAAAGGGTTGTTGCTACTCTTCAAAGGTAGAATCGCCCTATTGACTAATCGAATATTCAATGCAAAATTAGTCCATATTTAACATCCTTAGTGTAGACCAGAGCGAAGAATCTGAGCTGAACACAGGATAGTCAAGAACTACACTTTTGATAGGCAACAGCCTGGAATAGATTGTTAACAAACAGATGTGATTCTTATGATTGTTCTGTTCCTTTAACTTGGTAAAAGACAAATTCATAAATGAAACATGATAAGAAAATGAATAGCTAAGGCGTTTGGGAGAACATATACTAAAAATGAATTTGAAAATTGGCAGTTTCTGCATGTTCCTATTGGCTCTTTGGTTTTGCTTTCATCATATGTTGCCGGCATAACAAATGCAGAATCATGGCGTTGATTTCCTACTTATAATGGCCATCAGGTTCCATCATAACCCCACCCCAAATGTATTTAACCATGAATATTAGGCCTGGAAATTGTTTGATTGACTCAGGGCAAAGGAGAATTTTCCTGAAAAGTTTGTGAAGCAAGACAAAAAAAATCCAAAATTCCCCCAGATTTGACATTTTGACCAGAATCTAAAATTTCTTTGGCTCCTACAAGCCCCAAAATGCCTCATTACTGCACCTTCAGATTTTCTGTACAGAAAAAGAAAATGTAAAAGAAATATGTAAGTTCACTTTAAAATAAATGTTAAGTAAGGCAAGTCATTAACAGTAGCTGTATCTAATCAAAATAATACTGACTGTGTGGGAGTGGAAGTCCCTGGAATCATCTGTCCAAGGAAAATTAGGTCTGGTTGAAGAAGGTGTACAACAGAATGGGAATGCAGGTGGGAATCTGAAAAGGTTAAGTCTCTGTGGATGCACTGAATTTTCTGTAAAAAGTAAATGTGGAAATGGAATTCCAAGATAGATTTTTAGTCTTATAATGCATTAATTGTGGACTTTTGAATAGTTGGAGTTGAAGATCATGTCACATGTTAGCAGGAAGATCATTTTGCTTAACAAAGGTAGGCATTGAAAGACTTCAGTGGACTTTGAGTCCCGCTCTGAATTATTGAAATTCATCCATCAATGCACGATCTCAAGCACTGGGAAACAAATGGCTCCTAGAACTGACATGCATTAGTGCCATATGCCATGGAAAGGTTTCTTCCTCAAGATTTGAAATGGAGCTTTGATTGCTTAGGCCTTGATTCAGCAAAGCCCTTAAGCATGTGCTTAAAAAGGGGAGACTTACAATCATTTCGGTCTATTTACCAAAATTATTATGGCATCACTGGAGGAAACTTGCATGAGAAAATTCTCTGTATAGCGGGTTCTATCAGGTTATGTGCAAAACGTTTTGCACTTTAAAGTACAGGAACAGGCAACTATTTTGCAGCTTTCAGTGGATCCAGGACAAAAATTGCCCCTCTTTGGATTTTCTCCCTCTTACTGCTTGGCCCTACTACGCTGTTTATCCTCAGGCTATGTCTACGCTACAAGGTTTTTGCACAAAAATTGATGTTTTTGTGCAAAACCTAGTGGAGCATGTTTTTGCGCAAAAAAAAAAAAACAATAAATTGTCAGGACAGAGGGCTTTTGCTGGTAGAATTATTCCTCTCCCCATGAGGAATAACTCCTTTTTGCACTACAGCTCTTGCGCAAAAAGGCATGTGTGACAGACCCAGCCAGGTCCGCACTCACCCCGGGGGGGGAACGCTCTTTCACTGGCGCCGGGCGGGCAGGCAGGCAGCCCGGGAGACGGGGGAAGCCTCGTCCATATTGAAACCCCCCGCGGGGAGGAGCGCCTTGCCCTGCACTGGGAAAGGCGGGGCCAGGAGCGACCGCGGCAGGCGGGCAGGGAGCCTGAACGGTGCACCGGCCGGATGGGGCCACGCCGGGGTGGGGGCTGGGCGGCGAATCCCAGCCCCCACGCTGCAGAGCGTAAGGGCGCCCGGGGGGCGGGGCTGATGTCCCCGGCGTCCTTGCCCGGGCTGCTTGAAAAGCGGCTGGGCCGGACGGCTCAGGGCGGCACCAGGAGGAGCCGCCGGCGACCCAGCACCCGGGCGGAGACCCCCCCCTATCGGAGGACAGGAAGGCCAATGCCAGAGCCACCAGGACGGCAGCGGGACGGGGCCGACGCTTCGGCCGGGGTAAGCACCCCGGGCAGACATACTGGTAGGGCAGACGGGAGGGGGGAGTGGAAGGAGCCCGGGGCAGGGCTGTTCTGGCACCCGTAGACAGGTGAGTTATGGGGATAGTCCCCGCCTGTCGCGTGGGGGAACGCGGCTATTGTTCTCCCACTCAGGGCCCCGGGCTGGGACCCGGTGGAGAGGGTGGGCCCAAGTCCCCCACGTCTCCCCTCCTCGCACAACCCCGACCTACTTCACAGACTGTAGTAACACTCTCCCACGCCTCAGTGGTAGACAGGCAACCAGGACTACGCGGCGAGCCGCCCTATATTTCCTTCCCCACTCCCGGAAAGGACCTCGCCCCAGGACAGGCCCCGGGAGGCCCCGTATCCCTCTTTCCTGTACATTCAGACCCAGGAACCCTAATTGGGCCAGGCCAGGAGTTCGCCGAGCCCCGGTCTGAACCTTCGGCCGGGTGATCGCACTCCGATTCCCGTATCCGGGGACCAACCCCGGGACAATTGCGGTAACTTCAGGCGGCAGGTCCGCTGAACCCCCCTGCCCTGCCGGGAGGGGGCGCTTGCACCCTCTTAAAGCCGTCACAGCATGTGTGGACACTCCGCAGGGTTTCTTGCACAAAAAGAGCCTATCAGAAAAAGCAAGAAAAGACCTCTTCCGCAAAAAGCTTTTTGCGCAAAAATCCTGCAGTTAGAAAAAGCCTCAGGGTTCACATTACACAGACATTTCCATACCATCTCATCTGAAGAAGTGGGTTTTGCCCATGGAAGCTCATGATATATAGATTTGTTAGTCTCTAAGGTGCCCCAGGACTACTCATTTTTTCCATACCATGCCAGTTATAATTGCTGTGCTAATTCTAGGTTTTTGCATTAAATGGTAACACTTGAAAGCATTTCTGAGGAAGGCCATAAACTTGTAGCCTTTGCTTAAAAGTGATAATCTCCTTTTAATACAAACCTGAAGCACCTATTTTGAAGGGAACTTTTAGATGAATATCAAAGAGCTATTTATGCGTATCTAATATTTTAATTAGAGTATATTCTCAATTTAACCCATTAAATCCCCTTTGATGATCTCCATGTTTAGTGCTTAGCCCCAGATGCTAGAGATAATGAATACTGGACCTTTTGATTTAATGAGAACTTCTGCCTTTCGAGCCTGTCTCCCTTTGTATCCTTTCCTCCCTCCCCCCACACTATAGAATTCTGTTAATTGAAGGAGTCTCTCACCACCACACATTAAGGAGTCGAAATTAGCATCCCTTTTCTGATTGGAAAATGCGAGCAGACATTTTCCCTTTGATCTCAGGATTGAGTTGAAGTAGGCAACAGCACCCTGAAAATGAGCTGATGGCCTTATTATTAGGCTAAAATGCAGATGCGTCCATGTGTTGCAAAATACTTAATGTCTTAATTGATCACCTTCCTCGCTGTTTGTCATCCTGATACCTTGTATAGCTCATGTAAATTTGGGGGGAGGGTTGTTTTTTTTAAATAGTGA